GTCCAACTCCTCCTCACAAACTGCAAAGGGGCTTTAGCCACACATCAGCTCCATAATAGTGTTCAATTGTTCTAACGAGTCCATTTTGTGCACAGGGGAAGTCTCTGAGGCAACAGCAGAAATGAATTTCAACTGGCAAGAATGAGTTTTATGTCCCAAGATGCAGCTTTGATGAACTGCTTAGATTCAGTCCTTGGCCGGGTCCAGGACAAAAACTCATGGAGGTCTGGGAAGTTGATGCAGCAGGTTTGTTGAGAAACTGGAAATCTCCAACCATAGTCTCCTTCCCTTCTCAGACTGCAGAATGATGACATGGAGGGTCAGGAACACAGCTTCAGCAGATCTCACTCAAATTCATTTTGGGGTGGGGGTGGGAGCTCCAGCAGTCCCAGTATCATCAGGTCTGGCATTCCTCTGCTCCACACACCTCGCCAGATGTTCTGGCAGCCATCGGGCCTCATTTTCTTCCTTCGAGAAAACACAAACAAGCCCTCAACCCCATATTAAAACATGATCGGGTCCTTTCCATAATCCAGGGCAAGAATCTTTCCATTTGGACTGAGCAAAAGTCACCAAGTGCCATCATGACAAAACCTATCCATGGCAGATTGCTCACGGGCATCCATATACAGAACATTTTAAATGAAGCGTGCATGATTTAATGCAATATGTGGAGACTTGGGGGTACAACTCCCCTTTACTTATTTTTTGAAGTTGTGTTTCCAAGGAGCTATGGGCACACTCCACAGTTCCTTGTCCTTGAGGATTATAAGGAATGCCTGTTTTGTGTTCAGTTTTCCATTGGGGACAAAATTGCTGAAATGCTTTACTAATATATTTAGATCCATTGTCCATTTTTATAATTTTAGGAATTTCCATGTAAGTGAAATATTTTTTAAGCAGTGATTTATCACATGCTCAGGGCCATCTCCAGTTTGTTCAGTGGCCATAAGAAGCCTGAATATGTATTAACTGCCACATGTACATATTTTAATTTGCCAAATTCTGCAATATGAGTAATACCCATTTGCCATAAATGATCAGGAAGCAAACCTCAAGGATTTGCTCCTAAATTCATCACAGATAAATATTGTGGGCACATAGCACATTATTTGGCAATTTGACAAGCAGTTTCTCTTATTAAACCAAATTATTTTCTTAGACTTCTGCTATTTTGATGATGAAAGGTATGTGACTGCTGAGCCAGTTCTATCTGGGATAAAGCGACCATCTTTGTTCATCTGTTGGCTGATTCTTTACCTTCAGCCAGTGGACTGGGAAGGTTTGAATGAGCTCTTATATGACCCACAAAGCACAGTGACTTTATCTGATGAATGGCATTTTGAATTTGCTGAAACAGTATTCTAACCTGACTATTACTAGTTCCAATGTACAGAACTGTCTCTATTACTTGAAGAGCTTTAAAACCATTGTGACTACCAGTATACAAATTAAATTGATTATTCACAAGAAGCTGAAAAACTATTGCAACAGCTCATACTATTTGAGCTGATGTTGGAGTTGTTTGTAGTACATATCCTTTACCATCAATAACCTAAACTGCTTTTCCATTAGAAGAACCATTAGTAAAAACTAACATAGCATTTTTTTTTCAGGATTTCTCCTTACAATTTTAGGGAATATAAAAGAATGCATTTGTGCACATTGCAATAGTCTATCAGCTAGAAGGTGATTATCAAATTTCCCAAAAACTGAGCAAAAGCAATTGTCCAAGAATCATTGTTTTGAAATAACCAATCAACTTGTTGTTTGGTATAGGGAATATATGTTACATTTGCTTCTCTGCCAACATATCTCCTAGACTCCATACAGCATTTCTATACCATACAAGCTACTGCTTCATTATAAGAATTTAACACTTCAGCTGGGGAAACAGGTAAGTGCAACAGTAATAATGGTCCCTTTGCCACAAGACTGAAGTTGGACTATGCTACATAGGAAGTATATAAGCTTCCCATGGTTTTGCAGTCAATATAGCATATTTGTTGATGCTGGATAACATTCTCAAATTGCAGGAGAACTTGCCTACCTTCTTTACCTTCTTTAGTTAACTGTCTAGGTTAATTGGGATCACTGTCCCCTTTTAGAATGTCCCTTAAAGTTTTTAAATCTCCAGTAGATGCTTTTAAATAAGGCCGTAACCATTGAATATTTCCCAATAACTTCTGAAAGTCATTCAAAGATTGCAAGCTATCTTTCCTAATTTCTAATTTTTGAGGCTTAATTTCTTTAGGATATAACACATGTCCCAAATACTGAAAAGACAGCTGTCATTATACATTTTCAGCGGCAATTACTAATCCTGCTTTGGCAAGATTCTGCTGCAGCTGTCTGTATGTTGCAAGCAAAACTTTCTCACTCTTATGGGCAAGTAAAATATCATCCATGTAATGAACACTATAAACCTGTGGAAATTGATCTCTAATAATTTGTGTAGCTTGAGCCATAAACTTGTGACACATAGTTGCGCTATTAGCCCTGGAGCAAGACCTCCCACTGATATAGCCTCATGCGATCCTTGAAGTTAACTGATGGAACACTAAATGCAAGTCTAAGACAGTCTTGGAGCCAAAGGGACGATATAAAAACAATCCTTTAAGGCTAAAAAACTCTTATAGGTATCTTTTGGTATGGCCACAGGAGTAGACAATCCTGGCTGTAAAGCTCCCATTAGCTGCATGGTCTCATTAACTTTTCTCAAATCTTGCATTAATCTCCACTTTCCTGATTTCTCTTTAATCACAAAAATAGGAGACTCCCAGGGGTAATTAGAAGGCATAATATGATTACTGTCTAGCTGTTCCTATACGAACGGCTCAGCAACTTGTATTTTTTCTTCTGATAGAGGCCATTGATCTATCCATACCGGCTCATCGCTTTTCCAAATAATAGGAACTGCATGGAGTGGTAGGCCTCTCAGTGACCTCTCCTAAAAGTACCCTAATCCTGCTTTGGGAAGTCTGGCGCTAGGCAAGATAGGATCAGTGTTTCCCTCATTCTCCTTGCCCAGCCCTAGATTGGGCAACAATCCCTGTCATTTATATAAGACATCCACACCTAAGACCAAACATCCTAAAGTAGCCATGCCTTAGACCTGTATGTAGGTCTTATGGCTGTAACCTTGGAAGAGTAAGGATAGTTTTGAACTCTCTGACCTGAAGCCAAGATGAAGCAAAGCCATTTTCATGGCCCCAACATGCCTGAACATCTTCTTAAGCGTCAGTTTCTTATTATTGTCTCTGTTCTTTCAAGCCGTAGCATTCCTGTGCTCACATTCTGAACAATACACTTTACTTACATAGTTTCAACTGTCACTCTGTCCATCTGAAAGCTGATGAATAGCCTAACACTTTCTTCAACTCTAAATGAGCTATTCTTTGTTAATTTGAATCTCAACTGCTTTTCTTTTTCTTAAATAGGTTGATGGATCTAGATTTCAAAATGCATCTTTACCATCTACCTTATGTCACTCGTGTTTTAAACTTGTTATATCATTTCCGGACTGAATGCTACAGAACTAGATGAAAGGGATGTGTAGACTCCAGAAGGGACAGCCCAGCCCCAATGTTGCCTCTCCGCTCTCAATCTCCTCACACTGCCGCACACGCCCCTGTCCACATGACTTCAGTCTGTTCAGCAAGTGGCACAGGGTGAGAAGTCCATGCTGGATTGCAGGCACCAACACAGGCAGAAGCTTTGGTCCAGCATGAGCCAGCATGAGGACAAGTGGACTGCAAACCCACACTGTATAAGGGGCAGGGTGTGTCCAGCACATGCTCGGCACCGTTTTAAGTACTGTATCACTTCATTTAGTCCTCATGTACCTCAGTGAGTGTGTTTCCGGAGTTCCCTTCACTTCACACAAGAGGATATTGACAGAGAAGTGAAATGACTGTCGCACAGACGGTACAGGACAAAGCTTTTTGGTTCACAGGAAACGAGGAAAATGATGCCCAGGGAAGTCTAACAGCTATTATTTTAAAAAGAAATTATTAATTGAGAAAAAGGATTTGTTTATTTGTTTGTTTATTGTATGTGCATGAGCCTGAGTGAGTTTTTGTGTACCTTGTGTGTGCAAGAGCCTGCAAAGGCAAGAAGAGAGCATTCGAAACTGGACTAACAGGCAGTTGTGAGCCACCATGTGGGTATAGGAGCTGAACTAAGGCCCTCAGCCAAAGTAGTGCATATTCTAACCCCTGAGCCATTTTTCAGGCATCCTCACAGCTTTCTTTATGTTGGGAGAGTCAGCGAATGGAAAAGGCAATCATTGTACGGATACTCAACGCCTAACATTTGGACCAATTGAAGGATTTAGTGAGCAGACTTCTCACTCCTATGGAGTCACTATCTAGGGATGAGCCGAATCTTAAAAAGATGTAAGTGACCTTGAGAGGTGGCAGGGCTCAGGTGAAGGAGCTCTGGCTGGAGAGATTTGCAGAGAGTTGGGCATTTGATCACTTAGATTGGTCACCCTCAAGGACTCCAAAAGCCTTGATGTGATTAGAGTTGAATCGCTCTCTAACTGCATCAGATGGCATTCTGCTAAGTGGTAATGGTGAATGAATCCCAGGTCGTTAGCATTACAGAAACAAACACATCCAGACTGAAGGCTTGATTCAATTGTAAGAAAGTCAATGACAATGACCTTAAACTCCATGCTTCACATTTTGTGAGGCACCGGAAGAGAGGAATTTGAAGGCTTTAAACACAAAGTCATGTTAAATAGAAGGAAATGGAAATATTAGCACTGTGAGTCAGTCATTATAAAAAAACAAAAGCAACTGCCGTGTGTGTAGAGGCAATGCAGTGTGGTGGTTGAGGGTTCTAGATGTAGAGCAAGTGGGCTCAAATGTCACTCCCACACATGTGACCTTGGCCAGTGAGCTACCCTCATCAGGCCTCTTTCCTGGCCTGTAAACTGCTGTGTTAAAAATGACTCCCAATTTTAACCCTGTGGCTATGTAGTAAGACAAAGCTAGAACATGACAAGTAACAGATATTTATTATCCTTGTTCCAAAGAACACCTACAAAGTTTAAGACACTCAGATTCTACAAAAAGAAAATAACTTGTGATTTTACTAAGTGTCACACATTGCTACATTGTTGAGAAAAGAGGAAAGCAGACAGTGTCAGTGTACAACATAAATGTGAATCAAGAGAGTGGGAGAATAAGATGGACTTGAACTCTGATTTCTGAAAGGCTCTTCCAGGGTTCATCTGCTTTACTTTAATCAACACTTCACTGAACGTTGGTGATTATGTTTAGCATGACGCTAAATAAAGAGGAATGCAAACAGCATGTCAGATGACCCTTGATGGTCAGGAGTTTGTAATCTAGCTACGTGTGGTTATAAAGATGCACTTGCCAATTCTAGGACTTTAAAGCAAAAAAACCTTCTTTGATTTCAATAATCCCACCATCACTCACAACAGTTTTGGCATCTCTTCTACTGAGATGTGTTTGTAGCTACAATGGAACTCACTCGGGAAAAGCATACTGATTGCTGGTATAGAGCTGACTCCCTCTTCCTTAAGCATCTAGCTTAGACACCTGAATTGTTCACTAAGGTAGCTTCTTGCTGACTACTGATTATTTAAGAATGTCAAAACAACCAACTCAGGCCTGGCTGATGACCTTCTCATGGATGCATGGAGACATTACTAGTCATAGGGAGGGGCCTGGCACCACAGCATATGGTGAGCATGTTCAGGAGGGAGGTGTTGCTTCAACCGGAGGGAAAGCAGCTCATGTATGTTCAGCAGCTGGAAGAAAAGGCAGGCTGAAGACAACAGCAAGGAAGACGGGACTCGAGGCCATTTCTTTCTGTTCTGTCATTACTCCAGACTCTTCTTTTATTGCTTCTTAGGCATCCGGCTTTGATAGCGAAGGACAGAAAGGTCTGCCTGAAGCTGGCAGCAGATTCTCCCAATATTCTCGTCTAGCCCTGGGTTTGGAAAATATGCATCATTAAGTAAAAGATCCATACTCATTTTATAAATTCTGTATGTAGTGTGTGTGTGTGTGTGTGTGTGTGTGTGTGTGTGAGAGAGAGAGAGAGAGAGAGAGAGAGAGAGAGTAATGGAGAGGAAGACAGGAAGGGAGGGAAAAAAGGAGGGAGGGAGAGAGGGAAAGAAGGAGGGATTAGATTAAAGTAGAACTTTTGTTTCAACATACAGAGGATCTCTGTATATGCACACCAGTGGTTTTTTCACAACTTTTGTGTGTGGTATATATGCATGCATGTGTGTATACATGCTCATGTGCTTATGTGTGTGTATACACACAGAGGTCATCTGCCTCCCTCAGTTGTCCTGTACCTTATCTTTTGAGACAGAGTCTTTTGTTAACTATGAAGCTCATGAATGTGACTAATTTATCTGGCCAGTGAGCGTCAGGGATCCACCTGCCTTCTCAGCGCCGGAACTGGAAATGGGAGCTATAAATGTGCACTGCTACACTTCGCTTTTTTTCGGGTTCCAGCGATGTGAACTCAGGCTCTCACGACTTTCATGGCAAGCCAGTTACTGACTGAGCCATCTCCCTAGATGGGTTTCCATACCTTTATCCTCTTACTGACCACTAGGCTTCAAGGCCACCTTTGAGAACAATGTATTTCAGTTGTAGGAGTTTTCGTTACTATTAATTACATTTCATCCTGAAGCATCCAGCAAAGTGGTCCTAACTCTACTCAGTATCTTAGTGAACTGAGAATTTATGGAGACAGTTTTAAGTGTAAGGAGGCAAAGAATAGTTCTTCAACAAAGTAACCAAGAACAGAATACAAATGACCTTGTCAGGCTTTGTTCCTTGTTTTTGTGATCAAAGAAAAGTTACAGGATTCCTGGACACAGACTTTGGTGTTAAATATATTCTTACTGTTTCCCTCACTTTACTTATGAAACTTATGAAAAAGGTTAATATTTATATGATGGAATGTCAAAGCCATGGTTTATAATGGCCCCTGTGAATCACAACTTCCTATAAACATTAGTAGGTGTGGAAGTTTAGGGTGCAAAAGGTACTTTGGTCTTTAGATTGCTGTTTTGATCCTATTGCCCAATACTTTTAAAGGTCCATCCATGCTCACTCTCCAGAACTCTCGAGGATGATCAAGAACTTCTTACACCCACAAGACCCCATACTGGAAACAGAGTTACCAAAGAACAAAGGGTAAACACATCTGCTCAGGAACAGAGAGGGTCAGACCACACTTGAGCCTGTGCATTAGAGTGAGAATACTGGACTGGTGGGGGGGAGGGGAGAAGATGTCAGAAGGACAAGGGGACCCCAAATAGAGCATCTCTGGGGGAGGGGACGGCCTGTTGGAAAAGCAGGAAGCTGAGGGGGAAGTAGCAATTCAAGAAAGGATGCTAGAGGCATGAGATCGGACCACAGTGTGCAGGGAAGACTGAAGAACCTGTTCTTCTGGAGATCTAGAGTATAGCCTCTAAGAGGGTGACAATCGTGTGACAATCAAGGGATGAGAAGACTTTCTTTCCATCCTTTGTCCATTTTTGTTTTGTTTTGAATTCATGTGTTTTATGTATATGAGTGCTCTGTTTTTATGACCACCAGATCTCATTACAGATGCTTGTAAGCCACCATATGATTGCTGGGAATTGAACTCAGGACCTCTGGAAGAGCAGACAGTGCTCTTAACTTCTGAGTCATCTCTCCAGCCCCCCACCCCTCCCCATTCCCAGTATGTCTGTTAATTCTGTCTCTGAAGAAGTCTGGAATCTGGTTAGTCTTTTAGAAGGTTCCATAGACAAAAGAAGTTTTAAATTTGAAACCTGTTCTGAGCCTTAAATCTTGAACTCTTTTAATTGTTAAGTTGAGACTATGTGTCTCAATTTAAAATGATTATGAGATTTCCTGTTCCCTAAGAAAGAAGTCCTGGGGCATGTCAGTGTGTTCACTTTGTACCTACAAAGAAAGGAATTTATTCACCGAACAGGTTTAAGAGATAGCACAGAAAACATCCGATGATCTGTCATGAGTCCTACTGTTTGTATGACAACTGTAGTAATATTGTAAATGCCATTCTCTGACTTTATATTTAGAAGCAACTTATAGAGAAAGTCTGGAAGACTTAATTGTGATTACAGAATAGGACATGGTGGCTAAAATGTTAATGAAGTAACTTGAAGAAGCCAAAGAATGGGGCCAGAAAAATCTGTCAGTCAGAAAAGTGTTTGCCATACAAGCGTGAGGATCTGAGTTCAATTCACAGCACCTATGCAAAAATTCAGGTCTGGTGATGTGTGCTTGCAATCCTGGTGCTGGGGGCAGAGACAGATGGGGCTCACTAGCCAGCCAGCCTAATCTGACTGCCAGACTCCAGGTACTAATGAGACCCTGTCTCAAAAAGCCAAAGTGGATGGTACCTGAGAAAGAATGACACCTGAGGTTGTTCTGTGAGTCCACAAGCACCAGAACATTCTTACACACACACACACACACACACACACACACACACACACACACACGTGTGGGGAGACAGCCCAAACAGTAGAAGAGAGAGGGAGAGTAGAGAGAGAAACAGGAAAGAATCAATTCTTTCTTTATAGAGTGTACTTCATATTGATGGATTAAGATATAGGCAGTTACATAGTAGGGTGGCTACAGAAAACACTACTGATATATATATGCATGTATATACATACACCCACACCCACACACCCACCCACATACACACACACACACACACACACACACACACACACACACAGGGTTTCTCTGTTTAACAGCCCTAGCTTTCCTGAATTCACTATGTAGATCAAGCTGGTCTTAAATTCACAAAGACCTTCCTGCTTCTGCCTCCCAAGTTCTGGGATTAAAGGAGTGCACCACCATGCCCAACCGATTGATATATATATATATATATGTATGTATGTATGTATGTATGTATACATACATACATACATACATACATATATATATCAAAGGAGCTAGAAGAAAGGGGTTTGAATATTTTTATTACAAAGAAATGCTAGCTATTGGAGGAAGTGACATGTTTAACCTGACATGGACATTATCCAGTGTATATATGTATGAAAACATCATGTGATATCCATAAATGTGTGTAATTTTTGTATCCATTAAAATGTACTTGAAACCTATCCATATGATCACAAGAGTCAAGTCTTGGTGGGGGAGGGTGCATAATTGAGTCACAAGAGTGGAGCCCTAGATGATGGGATTAGTGACCATATCAAAGATGCTTCAGAGAGCTTGCTTTGACCCTTCTATTATGAGAGCCCTGTTGCAGGATATTTGTACACTGTGAAAATGTGTTGCTGTGATTGGTTTAATAAAGAGCTGAATGGTCAATAGGTAGGTAGGAGGTATAAGAGGGACCTCAAGGCAGAGAGAGGAAGTAAGAGATAAATTTAGGCTGCAATGTCAATGAGACATGGAGGGAGTTGGACATACCGAATGAAAGGTAAAAAGTCACGAGGCAAAACACAGATTAATATAAATGGATAAATTTAAGTTAAAAGAGCTAGTGAGATAAGCCTAAGCTAAGGCCAAGCTTTCATAATTAATAGTAAGTCTTTATGTAGTTATTTGGGAGCTGGATAGCAGGACAGAGAAACTCATTACAGAGCCCCAGCAAAAAGTCACTGTCACGGAGAAAGTGGACCTTCACTGAACACTGCATTTACTGGCAGCTTGATTTTGAACTTCAGAACTCTATGAGAAACACATTTCTGGTTTGTTTGTCTTGAGATAGGAACTCATTCTGCAGCTGGCCTGGTCTGGAGCTTGCTGGAGATCAGGCTGGCCTTGCCCTCATAGAGAACCTGCATGCCTTTGTTTAGTGTGTGCTCTGGCTAAGGTACGGGACACCACTCCTACCCCTAAGTTTCTGCTGTTTGTGAGCCATGCAGTCGGTGGTATTATGTTACAATAGCCTGAGTAGACCAGGACTCCCCGGGAATGGGCAGGGGCAGCCTGCTTTCCTCCTAGGCACCTTTGCACTGTTAGTATTCTCACTGCCTTGATGAGCATCATGTCTACAGCAATGCATAGAAGAGGTTAGAGCAAGTATGAGTGCAACAGCAAAGCAACCCCACCTGGCTCTGATCCAGGGTTTGGTGTGCATGTCCAGGCCACTTCCCCAGCTGCCATGTTTCTCTGAAGCCGGAGGCAAAAATCCCCTTTCTGGGGCCAGCTCCTCTGCAATCGCCCTGATGTGGTAGGGCTCAAATCCACAGCAGCCGCCAATGTACCTGACTCCCAGGTTGTAGGCCTCTCTGGCGTATTTTTGAATATCCCATCTGGTGGCAACTCTGGGTTCCAGACCTGTAATACCATGGTTTTGATGCTTCTGTTAGCGCTGTGTTGTGGTTTGAAGGAGAAATGTGCTCCATAGGCTTACGTATTCGAATACTTGTCCCTCAGCTTTGGACTGTTTGGAAACATGCAGCTTTCACCAGAGGTGGGCCTTGAGGTTTGAGAAGTTCTCGGTTTTCTGCCTTTATTCAGTTTTCTGATCAGCTACCCCACACTTCTGTGACCATGCCTCACCACCATGGCGGACTGCATCCCCTTGACTCTGAGCCGCCCTTAAGTTGCTTCTCATCAGGTATTTGGTGAAAACCACCAGAAAAGTGACCAATGCAGCTCCCATTTTCAAATGACAGATTCTCCGTGATTGACCGTCTCCTCCACCCCACCCTCACCCCAGTTAAAAACAAGCTAATATAAGTGCTGGAATGATCATTCATCCTTTAGATAGCTTCTGTTTGGTTAACACGGAAAGATTTTTTTTTCTTATATGGCCTTATATTATAAAACTGTCATCAATTTATTCAAAATAGGAAACATAAGGGCCAGGCTGTGGGGACGCATGACTTTAACCTCTGCACTCAAGAGGCAAAGGCAGGCAGATCTCTATGATTTCAAGGCCAGCCTAGTCTACAGAGAGAGTTCTAGGACAACCAAGGCTACACAAAGAAACCTGTTTTGTTTTGTTTGTTTGTTTTTAAACAAAACAAAACAAACCATAAGGAACTCTACATGCATCTGAACTTACCAAAGGGATATTCTGGGAGGTCCACAAACCCTCCCTTGCCACAGTCAGGTGTATGGAAGCCCAGGGATTGCACCATCAGGTGAGCTTGCAGGCCCGAATCCCTGAGGCCCTCCTTCATGAGCTTCATGGTCTGCAAGCTGGTCTGGGGCCCAAATCGACAGTTGACCCCAATGATGTTCGCCCCTGTGCAAGACAATAAGGAGCCATTATAAGGTACGGTGGATTCATTTATTTGTTGTTCTCTTGGTAACACTTCGAAGCTGAGGTGGTTGTAGAGCATGCCTGCCATCACAGCATCTGAGAGCAGGAGGGCCACAAATCCAACACTAGCATGGACTACATTGACTAGAAATGATTGAGTTTCATTCTAAATCAACCAACCAATCAACTTAGAAGCTAGCTTGGAGATTAGCTACCCTAGGATTTATAGGCAAGAATGTTTCCTTCTTGCTCTTTAAACTTGGCTGCATTTTGTAAGCAGCCACTGCCCTGCCCGTCTCATCAAAGGCCACTTTACCTGCCTGTGCCAGCTTGACTGCACATTGTCCAGGTGCCACGTCATGCATGTCTCCCTCTGGGCCGATGCACATGGTCACAGCCACAGGTTTTCCCACTTCTCTCAAGACTTCCACAGCCCACACGGCCTCTTCCAAGTGTTCAAAATACTAGGAGACAGCACTTCTTAAAGTCAGCCTCAAGTTACAGTGGAGTTTTGGATGATAAAGCACAAATGCTAGAACTGTTGTAAAAATTATCCAGTCGATGATATGTGATACAGCTTGCTCAGGGATGTGTCTCTAACAGATTATGGAAATAGATTTCCGAGCTAACATTTGAATTCTGTTATTGGAGGCTTATTTGGGGAATCAGCATTTGGTGACATGGTGATTGTTAGTAAAACAAGAATCATATTATTTAAAGGATACATATATATTTATACATATATATACGTGTGTGTGTGTGTGTGTGTGTGTGTGTGTGTGTGCAATATCTTTAATCCCAGCACTGGGGAGGCAGAGTGCTGGGAATAAAGGTATGCACCACCACCGCCTGGCTTCTTCCTTCACTACTGGAAGAATTTCCACAAAAGTCCATTGAGGAATGAAAAAGATAATCAAGAAAAGCTCAGCTTCAGAGCACTTAGGCCGGTGTTCCTAGAATCTGCCGAGAGAAGCAGACAGTCCTGGGCCTTGAGCTGGTTTGTACTAGCAGACATTGAGCTGAGGGCTTGATCCCAGGCAGGAACAATGGGGAAGAGAAGGGAGATCGTGTCCTTGATGTCCAGTCAGTGACCAGTTGTTATGGCTTCGATATGAAATGTCCCCCGGTAGGTTCATGTGATGAGGGCTTGGAACTCAGCTGGCGGAGCCAAGCACTAGGAAGGGATTGGTCCACAAGGGCTCTGACTTCATCAGTCCACTTAGATGGGGATGGATTCATAATGGAAGCGTCTTTGGGAAATAGTAGCAGGTGGGTTCTGGTGGGAGGAAGTAGGTACTGGAGGTGATTCTTTGAAGGCCATCTTGTCTCCGGCTCCTTCCTCCTGTCCCCTCCTTTTCCTGGTGGCCATAGTCCTACTCTGCCATGTCCTCCCTCCATCATGCCCTGCCAGGTGACCTGGAGCCAGGTGACCTGGAACAGCTGCCTGGGGACTGAACCTCCAAAACCATGAGCCGGAGTGGTTCTTTTTTTCTTCCCTTTAGTTGATTGTCTCAGGTATATGTCACGGCAGCAGCAACAACAACAATCTGACTTAATACATCAATCCTTTAGAATGCCATTTCACATGTGACGTGCTGAGGGGATAGCAGAGAGGCAGTGAGAAAGGCCAGGGTGGAGAAGAGTTACTCTGTGCTGTCTTGCCAGTGAATGAATGCCTGGCGAACCTAAGCAGCCATCTGCCTGCCTGCTCCAACTGCAGCACTTTCCAGCCTGGCCTCTCCTTTGGGAGGGGATGTGTCCCAAACCACTGTCTTCTTTTTATCATCTCACTGTCCCCCAAGTCAGCTACTACAACCATGTAAACCTCAGAAAACAAAACCCATAATGAGCCATGCAGTGGGTCCATCCCCTGCCACACAGGGAACCCGGCATGCTACTGGCAGAGGCTAGCCTGGAATGCAGTGCAATAACCTAAATCTCTGACCATCCCCATGGAGGAAACGAGGACACAGAACGGCCCTGTTCAGTAGAGCGGCCTTACCTCTGCAATTAAGAAGTCCACATTTTTCCTGACAAAAACTCCTAGCTGTCGTCGAAAAAGGTTTTTAATTCTAGTTTCATCCTTGTGGTACTTGTACAGTGATGTCTGGCAGAGGCCCCCTGCCACCAAAGCATCCCCTCCATCAGCCACCTCCCTGGCGAGGTCACAGGCAGCTGCATTTACATCTTCCCACTGAGAGCAAGAGCAGAAACAGAGCCTGGTGTTTTAAATGAAAACTAAAACAAGTCACAGGGGGACCAGTGAGCAAGTCAGTCCTGCAAACTGCATTTCAAGAGGAGCTGAGCATAATCTCCTCCATTACCAGTGGTTTGAGTGTGTGTGTGTGTGTGTGTGAGAGAGAGAGAGAGAGAGAGAGAGAGAGAGAGAGAGACAGACAGACAGACAGACAGACAGACAGACAGAGGAGAGGGAGAGAGAGACAGAGAGAGAGAGAGAGAAGATAGATAGGGAGAGGGGGCCGTGTACTTAAGGAGATCAGAGAGACAGGGAGACAGAGAGAGAGAATGAGAGACAGAGAGACAGAGAGAGAGATAGGGAGACAGAGAGAGAGTCAGGGAAACAAGGAGAGGGGCCCGTGTACTTATGGAGGTCAGAACTCAACACCACATGTCTTCTTCCATTGCTCTCCATGTTATTTTTTGAGACAAGCTCTCTCACAGAGTCTGGATCTCACTGACTTAGCTACATGGCTGGCCAAAGAGCTCCAGGGAATTTGCCTGCCTCTGTCCACCCCACATCTGGTGATGGGGTTACAGATGTTCACCAATGTACTTGTCTTTTACATAGGTTCTGGGAATCCAAACTCAGGCTCTGTACTTACATGGCCAGTAGTTTACAGACTCCCCAGCCCACTGGTGACTTTATACTTCCATTATTGTTATTATTCACACTGAATTTTTAAAACATAAATGTAGAATAATTGTGAAGTATAGTATAGTGGCTCACTCCTTTATTATTATTATTGTTGTTGTTGTTATTTTACTATGAGTATGGGTATTTTGCCTACATGTATGTTTGTGTACCATGTGTGTTCCTGACACTCTTGGATGCCAGAAGAGAGTATCAGATCACCAGGGGTTGGAGTTATAGACAGTTGTGAGTTGCTATGTGGGTATGGGGAATTGAATCTGGGTTTCCTCTGGGAAAAGCTAGAGTGTTCTTAACCACTGAGCTATCTTCGGTCCCACCACATTGGATTTTAATAACTACATTACTTTCCCTCTCATTCAGATAATTTGCTTCTTCAGAAGAGGGTCAAAGCTTCTCGTCATGGTTTGAATATAATTGGTGCCCATAAGCTCGTAGGCAGTAGTACTGTTGGGGGTGTGGCCTTGCTGAAGTAGGAGCGGTCTTGTTGAAGGAAGTGTGTCACTGTGGGGACAGGCTTTGAGGTCTATCTTGCTTAAGCTTTGCTCAGTCAGATTGTTGACTTCCTATTGCCTTCTCATCAAAATGTAACCAGCACCATGTCTACCTGCACACCAACATACCCCCTCACATGATGATAATAGACTTAACTCTGCAATTGTAAGCTGAAACCTCAATTAAATGTTTCCTTTGTAAGAGTTGCTATGGCCAGGTGTCTCCAGCAATAGAAACTCTAACTAAGACACCTTTTTTTCTATCATCTTTCTGCTTAGCACAAAGAACCCTGAGAGCCCATGGCTGTAACCATGAACACAGCACACATTGGTTCTCATTAAATGTGGGTTTCTTGAGCATGAGCATATGTAATCATCAGTTTCCCATCCTTCATCTCATCTGCTCTTCTTGGCAGGTCTGAGCATAGCACTGTTCATTATTTTTTCAGAGCTAAAGCCAATGTGCCATGCAGGGATGTTCTTACATTAAGTCACACAGACAATAGACAGCAAAGTTGGGCATCAAGCCTGATGTTTGCCATTTGTAGTCCTAAGTCCCAAGATCCTCCTGTCTCCAGACAGATAAGGGGATAAAAGAACAATACAGAATGAGGGAATAAAAATGATCTAGCCAAATTTTTTTTCTTCAAAAAACAAAAACAACAACAACAACAACAAAAAAAAAAAAAATAAAAACCACATACACACATCTAAAGGGATGCCTCACCCTTCCAGCAGCCTGTTCTATTTGATCTTGTCATCTTCCACCTAAACTGATGATATTCTGTGTGGTGGTTTGAAGGAAAATGGTCCCTAAAGGGTAGGGCACTATTAGTAGTTGTGGCCTTGTTGGAAGAAGTGTCACTGTGGGGGAGGACTCTGAAGTCTCTTCTGTTCAAGTTTCCCTCAGTGAGACACTCAGTTCACTTCCTGTTGCCTGCAAGATGTATGGCTCTCGGCTCCAGTAAGTACATCTGCCTGCATGCTGCCATGTTCCCAGCTGATAATGATGATGATAATGAACTGAACCTCTGAAAGCCACCCCAATTAAATGTTTACTTTGTAAGAGTTGCCATGGTCACAGTGTCACTTCATAGCAACGAAAACCCTAACTAAGACACTCTGTTTCATGCACATGTCTAAGGAGTTGTGAATTCACAAAAGTTGGATGTGATCTGGTAGCAAAGTGCAGTAAGAGAGGAACCCAGTCCCCCTGCCTCCCACAAGAAAGCTGTGTTCCTTGTCTTTGCTTTCTACCCGAACCCCAGTTACCTTGGTTTCCATATTGTCCTCAGTGGCAGAAAAGGTGAACGTCTGTAAGACATCAGCTCCTGCTCTCAAGAATTCTGTGTGGAGCTGATGAACTGCCAAGCAATTGAAATTGCAATTACAAATCAAATCCCAAAAGCCTATGCTCTCAATAGCAGCTCCCACCCTTCCTTCCCGCCAGACCTAATTTCAAACCTAGAACTGACAAGCTACCAATTAAAGTCAGTAGTGTGACAGGACAACATGAACTATGGAGCATCCCACAGGGTTCTCAAGTGGGTCCCATGCAGAGACTTAAGCCTGGCTAGCTCCAGTCTCCTCATCCCTTGCCTAGTTTCTTCACACAGCAATGTGTGAAGGATGCGGCTGGCCTATCATCACCATGGTGGGAAGGGTAAAGAAGCTCACACAGAGAGCAGCAGGACTGTGCATGACACCCACAGCAGGCTGATTCAACAGCAAGCGTGAAAGCACAATGTGGCAAGCAAGCAGCCGTGGCTGCACCTAGCCTCCCAGAAAGTCAACTCCCTGGTTAGGAATGTAGCTCAGTTGGCAGAACGCTCCCTTAGCATGAATACAGCCTTGGGTTTGATCCTCAGCACCCTCTAAAGCAGGTGTGAGCTTAGCACTCAGATGGGGGAGGTTATCCTTAGCTACATACCTAGCTTAAGACCACCTAGGATGTCTGAGAGTCTGTCTTAGAAAAACAAAAAGGGAAGAAAACAAAGTTCCTTTTTCCACCATCACCCTCTCCTGGCTAATCAGCACATTCAATTTATCCAAAATGTCTTCCAAAAGTAGGGAAAAAATAAAAAATTCGCAAGAGGTAGCAGAAAAGCAAAGCTATTTTGTCCCCCATGGAAAGCAGGTGTCTGGGTAATCTCAGGGAGTACCATTAATGGCCTCAGGGCTCTAATGATACCTGGGCAGTTCATGGAGGTAAACTCATCTGTATCACAGCTGGCTCATGTCCTGCCCAATGAGGCAGACAAAGGAGCAGATTCTCAAAGAGGTCAAGGGACTTGTCTAAGGTCACACAGCTGGCCTGGAGAAGAACCAAGCAAGGGTTCCAGCTTTCTCTCATACATTGTGTGTGTGTGTGTGTGTGTGTGTGTGTGTGTGTGTGTGAATGAAATTGGGTAGATTCAAGCCTCACTTCCAGTGTGGCCTTATCTCCCTCCCCTCTTATTCCTTGGCCTTAGCCTCCCACTCTAGGAAAGCAAGAGAAATCAATAAAGTCAGGTATAGTTAAAGCACCATTGTGATGTCATCCAATTGTAATGGTTTCTGCTTCCAGCTCCTTTATTTTTATTTTTCCCAAGTCAGGAAGATGAAGGGAGGTTATTCCTTTCTCGGCACTCTGGTCCCCACAGCCTGGCTGTCTGCTTCATTAAGGCAGTGATGGTCATCAGTCATTGTCACCATGGCCATGGCTGTTATCTATGATGTACAACCTTCAGCAGGATGAATCTTAAGCAATTAATGGTTTTTGCAAGAAAACTCTTGAATAGCTACAAGGGAACTTTCCAAGGAATTAATAGTTAATTGGATTTTGTTTTTAATGCTTGTTCAAGAAAATATGAGTGTAGAGAGGGAGAGGTACAGAGAAAGGGAAAGCTGGAGGGAGAGAGGATGAGAGAGAGACAGACAGAGGGAGAAAGACAGAGCAACAGAGACAGAGGAGGAAAGAGGGGGATGGAAGGATAATTGTCCCCATGCTTTTCATAGCTTCCACCTCTAGGCAATTTTGCAAGGGCAGCAGTGTTTAGGAAATGCTTGCTGTTGTTCCTTGATTTTCTCTCACTGGTGTCAGAGATAACTGTTACTCGGAGACACACCGCTGGGTGGGGTAGGCACTGACCGGCACTGGGATGCTCTACCACTGCTTCTGGAGTCCAGAGCCCCGCCTTCACGAAGCCTCTCTTCTCCAGACTGAAGAGAAAGCCGCCATCACCAACCACAACCTCCCCGCTGTCCAGACGGTCCAAAATGCCCTGGGAAGAGACCAGAGACTCTGTAGGTCCTTTCCATATTCTTCTTTTCCTTTTAAAGTCATTTTAAATTTAGGAATGTTGGTCTTTCTTGTGTTCTTCAGGCAGTAGTTCTGCTAAAATTATGTCTAAGAGTGTTTCAGAAGACATTGCTACATGATTCCTGGCCACCTAATGGGTACTTTTTTCCCGCCTCAATTAGCACTTTCGGGGTCACACTATACCGAAAGCACTGATGAGCCTGCTAGTCATTTTTGTTTTCCGTGTTCTAATGTATTAGGGGTTGGGGTGGGGGCAAAATATCTTCAACTTAAACAAACCCCTCAACTTACAGGCTCCCCGGCTGCTGGTCATGGCCTTGTCACACCACTGGCCAACAAGACAAGTGGAAGCCATTTTTTTTCCTCTTTCCCCTCCTGACTGGAAGGTGGTCATGACACCTAGGTATAGAGCCGTCTTCAGCTGCATTCAAGGCCACAAGGAGCCAACTGGCAGAATGGTTTTTCATAACAACCCAGAGCAGCCACAACAGGTATGCAGACATGCGTGGCTTGCTCACCTTTACAGCTTGCGTGAGAAATGCAAATCACTCCCTTGTGTTAACCAGTTTGAGATTCAAACTTCATAGTGCACATCAACCAGTCCTTGAGGGGAAAACCATTACTCCGGTGTTCTAGCTTAGGTCCCCTCTTCTTGTACCCAAGCTTACAACTTGTGTCTATAAAGCATTTCATGAATCCATCCCCCCTATTGTGGCCGGCCACTGGGCTACAGGATGATCTTAATTCCCCTGCAGCTGGTCCTTCTCTTATCTGTTATTGCCCTCTCCTTCTGCCCTGACAACTTCAGCACCTCCATCCAAGTGTGCAGCTATCCAACACCATCTTGTCGTTACTGTCTCACTTTGAGGGTGGGATGTGTGGGGGCAGGTGACATGCCGTTTTGTCTAGATCCCCCCACCTCTACTAGCATCCAGTGAAGGAGAGATCCTTAAAGAACTATGCCAACAGAGACAGCAGAGGTACCGATAGCTCTGGAAACATCAGATGCACCACAAGTGGCTGTAGCTGTGTTCTAAGAAGCAAAACCAGGCCCACTTCATCAAACATTAGGAGGCGTTAAAAGAAACCATCGTGTAGATTTTGACTGCACCTTTGTGAGGGAGGATAGAAGGGTAGACCTTTCAGTCCTTTTCTTTTTTTGCGGGGGGAGGGGGGCTCTGTAGACCAGGCTAGCCTCGAACTCATAGAGATCCGCCTGCCTCTGCTTCAGAGTGCTGGGATTAAAGGCATGCACCACCACACCTGGCTCATTTTCATTGCTTATCTGGAAGTCTGTCCAATGTTTTCTTTAGAAATTTATGTTAAATGGTGTGTGTATTATGAGTGCGTGCACCTAAGTGACCTAAGGCATCAGATACCCTGGACCTGATTATAGGTGGTCGTGAGCTACCTAACATGGGTGCTGGAACTGAGCTCAGGTTCTCTGGAAGAGCAGAAAGGGATCTTGACCATCTCTTGTGCTTCTTGCCCAGCATCTTAAATCCTTCATTTTTCTTCATCACCATTATCAAAATAACTGGATTATGGAAGCTTGAACTCAGAGCAGCCTCGCCCATCCTCTGTGTGGTCTCCAGCACCCCACTTTATTCTAATGACAACTTACGCTAAAAGATGGAGAGTCCTGTGAGGACATGAATTCACATGCAGCAGTCTGGCTTTCTCATTCACTCTCCACTTTTGACAGCACCTACCCCTGCTGCTCTGATGGTGAGGGATTTCCTTTGCATCCCCCTTTGGAAGAGAACACCCAAAACCTCTGGATTTACCCTCTGGGCTCAGGGTGGGACTGTTGATCCTCAGGGGAGGCCATTTGCCCCATGCCAGGTGGGACACAGGTTCAATCGCCTAAAAGAGCCCCATCTGCCTGGCTTCACTGGTTCGGGGTGGGGGTGCAGGAGGCAGCTTCTGTGGTTTGAGGAGTAGGGTGGGGGCTTCAGCTATTCAGTAGCCCAGCAGTAAGTAGTCAAAGGCACTGGTGAGCTGTGCTCTCAGATGAGGAGAGAGGGCCCTAATTCTCTTCCAGGTATACATTGACAGGGGCCAGCATGTGGAAACATGCTGTTTGGGGGGAGCAGAGCCCAAAGGAATGGGCATAAAATGTTTTCAAAAACCTTAAAATAAAAGCCAGGGTCTCACCATGTAGCCCCTGGGTAGCCTGGAACTCACTATGTAAACCAGGCTAGCCTCAAACTCAGAGATAAAGGCATGTATCACCACACTGGCTGAATAGAAGCTTTATTATGATGATGATTATTTCTTTATGTGTACATGTGTATATGTGTTTGTTATATCTGAGGCTTGGGTGGTCTCCTGGAGCTGGAGTTACAGTTGGAAGCAGCCTGATGTGGGTGCTGGGAATTGAACTCTGGTCCTCTCAAGAACAATGCATGTCCTTAAATGTCCTTAACCACTATGCAATCTCTCCATCCCATAAATATCTTTTTTTTTTTTTTAAATTAAATAGCCAGGAGTGGCAGTGCAGTCTTTAATCCCAGCACTTGGGAGGCAGAGGCAGGCAAATCTCTTCGAGTTGAGGGCAGCCTAGTAAGTAGGAAGTTCCAGGACAGCCAGGGCTCCAGAGAGGGGTTATGACTGAAACTAAAAAAGTCCTCTAGAAATAAAAATTGGGATTAAAAGGTGAATTATGGGCTGGCAAGATGATTTAGGTAGGAAAGGTGCCTGCTGCAAATATGATGGCTGGGTTCAGTTCCCAACAAAGTTTAGTCCCTGGGCCCATCTGGAAGAGGGAGAGTACCAGCTTCTGCAAGCTGTCCTCTGACCTCCACAGGTACAATCTAGTATGTCCATGCCCACGCATGTACACAATAAATAAGTGCATGCATAAATGTAATAAAATTCTTTTTAAGAAGTGATTGTAAAAATGAATATAGCGTTACAGAAGGTCAGTCCAATGAAGGCAGCACAATGTTCTTCACCCTAAAAGGAGTCTTTTTGTTTTATTTTGGGTTTTGGTTTTTTAAGATAGGGTTTCTCTGTGTAGCTCTGGCTTTCCTAGAACTCACTTTGTAGGCTGGCCTCAAACTCTCAGAGATCTGCCTGCCTTTGCCTCCCGAGTGCCAGAATTAAAGGGTTGAGCCACCACACCGGGCAAGTTTGGATAATCTCATTCCTTTTCTGTATTTTAACTTTTGTCGTTTAGAAGAACATCTCTCGGTGTGCTGTGAAACACAGACTCCACATTGTGCGTAGGGCCCTGACCAGTCCTCTGCCGGTGTGTCGTGTGTCTGTGACCACTGTTGTACTCTTAGGGTGGGTCTATGACATGCAACATCACCATTACACGCATTCTCTCTCACTGGGAACTGTTAATGGCTGACTAACAATTTGGCAACAGATTGGACCTGGACTTTACTCGACCCCCAGCGAAGGTCACCTCTGTCCCCAGTTTCTTAGCATTCGTAAAACAGAGGTGCCTCTACTGCCCCTAGAACTCTCAGTTGTATCCACATAGGATGTTCTGGGGTGGGGGGTCCTGGGAGTCCCCTCTTCCAAGTTCATGCCTTTCTCGTTGTTAGGGGACCCTTTGCTTCCACAAGTCCTCAGTGCTGTGGGAATGAAGCCCACATCTTGTCGTCGTGGGACAAGGGCCAGATGTGGGACTGCCTTCTGAAGGCAACAGAGGTGACTCCCACACCTGCCCCTGCGAACTACATGCGTGTGAAGGGCCTGGTGTGCTTACAAAAGCAGAGGGAGACTGACAGGAACACCCATGGGTGAACCCCATGCGCTTCCTTGAGAGAGAAAAACGAGGGTCCTCTGAGTCCAAAAACCTGACCCCAGTTCCCTCCTCTGCCCTGAATGCGATCACCGTCTCTGGGTCTTAGTTTTCTCACCCACAAGCAAACTGGGGTTATCAGCAGCTGCAGATACTCTGGTCTGGGCAAGGGCTCCATGATCTAATTTACTCCGGATCCTGAAAACTGTGTCTCTGCCTCACACCCCACTCCACCCCTACCCCATCCCCGCCCCGCAGCTGTGCTAACAAGGCCTTAGGAGTTTGGTTAAAGAGGGATTCGAACTCCCTAGGAAAGGAAGAACGCCTGAGCCACACTCACCTTCTTGGCCCGCGGGCCTCCGACTGGTTCCATGTCTCCACCAGTGTGCAGGCGCCGGTCCTGGTGGCACCGGTCCGGGAGGCTCCCGGTGCCCAAGCCCGCCCCTTGGTGGGAGGATCAACCCCCCTCCTCAGCCCGTGTCCCCTCCCCCAAGCTGCCTCCCTCCTAAGGTCGCTGCCCCTGACCGTCGGTCCTTGCTCGGGCTCCCCTCCACTATGCTCCGCCCGGGAGTGCTGCGGCTGCGGGGCCTCCGGAGTCTCGCGCTCCGGGGCTCCCCTGGGCGCCCAAGCTCCACCGGCCTCCGGGAAGGGTGAGTGCTTGCCGCCTGCAGGTGGGGAGGAGGGGCCCAGGCCGGCTCACCTGCCTCCCAGAACAGGGATTACCTGCAACTACCAGGGAAAACTCAGTCTCTGGCCCCAACCCTGCCCGGTCAGCAGTGGGCAGTGTGTGGATATCTGCAGGAGCCTGTCTCCTGTGTTCCCATAGCTGGAAGCTTTAGTCTCCAATTCGCTCGCACCTTGATTTGGTGGTTGTCATTGTTTTGTTTTCAATGATTATTCTGTTCCAGGGCGTATTGATTTGCCTTATTCTTTTTAATGGCTACATAGTTTTTCATTTGATCAATATTTTCTAATATAATTAATCAGCTCATTCATTAACAATTAGGCTGCTTCAGGTTAGTTGGTAGCACAGAGAACATAAACCTGACATTTTTAACACACGTGTGTTTGGGCAAATATGAGAGTCTGGTTTTGTTTTTTTAGTCTTTTTAAAGAAAAAAAGTTAGGGAAAGGGTTAAGTCAACTGTCCATTGCTGTCTTTTGATGTGGAGGTGTGTGGGGTGTGCATGGGCTTTCCTTTGTCACACCTGGCACCTGTAGTTTCTGTATGTAAAGCAGCAGGACAACATCTTTGACTTTTCTTGTCCTAAAGTCACTCCCGATGTCATGCACCATGGCGAGGTGAGGCTTCTATTCACAAAGTCACTCCACAAACATTATCACGAGGTGACTTCGTTTGTGTTTTATATCTTATGGTGTGCAGGGACTGCTTTTGAGTCGTATCCAGCTGTCATTTCATCGACAGATTTTTCACGGCACCTGGTGTGCAGGCTTGTTCCCGGTTCTGGGAATACAAGGGCCATAGAATGTCGGTTCTGGCAGACATGGCAGCTGCTGGCTGAGCACAGTTTCCTCATCAGCAAAGAAAGGATGCTAATTCTGCTCTGCCTGGTTTTCAGGAGGGCTGCAAACCCTAATCGAAAGAATGCATAAGAAAGATTTGTGAGCTGTAAAAGCATCACAATTGGGAAACTGCACCTAATACGGAAGGAAATAGAAAGGTGTTGTTGAACTTGGGTTAATGGAAGGAAATAGAAAAGTGTTGTTAATAAAAAAGAAAGAAAGAAAGGAAGGAAGGAAGAAAGAAAGAAAGAAAGAAAAAAAGGTGTTGTTGAACTTGGGTTAATTTGTTTAAAGCGCCTTAGACAAATCCAGTGTAACATTAAAGTCTTTATGCACTATTATGTGTGTGGGACTGTTTATTTGCATATGACTTATGCATATATTCTGACATGTTGAGAGTTACCAGAGATGGTGCAAAAGCCTGACATCCCAGCACTCCTGAGGCTGAGGCAGGATGTCAACCTCAAAGCCATCATAGGCTGTGGAGGATACATAGTGAGACCTTGTCTCAAAAACCAAACTGAAACAACAAAGAGAGTTCTTTCTACAAAAGTTTTACAACTTCTTTGTCAGTCTGAAATTGTGTGTCTGACTACAAAGTCACACCCCATGTCATTAAACCTATGCAGAAAATATGGGTTTTGTCTGACAGATTTTGAAGGCAGATTAGAATTTAGACATTAAGAGGTGCAATTTCATCTTCATCAGATAAACACAGTTTTTCCCTAATAAGGTGTAATTAATTAGACAAATACAGCAGTTACTATCCTGTCAGTCCAAGAGAAGGTTCCAGCCTGCTCTTTTCTTCTCACTTTGAACTTTATTCTTAAACTGCTGGTGGTGACAAGCCTTTAATCCCAGCACTGGGGAGGCAGAGGCCAGCAGATCTTTGAGTTTGTGGCCAGCCTGGTCTACAGACTGAGTTCCAGGACAACTGGGGGTACACAGAGAAACTCTGCCTTGAAAACCCAAACCAAAACAACAAAACCTTGTTCTTAAAATGTCAATTTTTGGTTTGGTGTCACCAAATATACCATGGAAAATATTCCCAGAATTCTTATTAATTCATATGACTGTCTATGTTAGACACTACTAGAATAAGGAGATCAGTGACTAGCAAAGAAGGCAAGAACTAAGGAATTAGTTCTTTGGTCATGTTTCACAGGATTTACTCAGTGCCCTTTGTGTTACTGACTCCTCAAGCCAGCCGTATCCGTGAGACCCCACCACAGGCAGCCTCAAGGGCTTTCAGAGCCCAGCCCCTCCCTTTGCTGACTGCCCACAACTGCCCCTGCAGCCTGGGTGCCTTCATGCCCACCCTTGCCTCCTTCATCTTCCTTCATCCATGTCTTCCTGTTGATGGATGCTCCTGGAACCCGGACCTTCCTTCATGGCTTCATTGCTGTTGTGTCCACATTTTTGGTTTTGCTTGCTTGGTCTTCTGGGTCTGCTACAAGCTTCAGAGCTCCGAGGCCCTGTGTGTCCAGCCCCATACACAGCAGGGATGCAGGAAGCACTTGATAAATTAAAAAAGGAAATAGTCTGAAGGAAATATGACAATGACAAATAAACCTCTCTACCCTATGAGCAGTGCCAGTGCTAAAATGCCATCCTTTAGGGACTTGTGTAGGGAAATCATGCCAGTGTAAGGCTGAGAAAAAGCCATGGAAATGATCAGATGTGTTCACCAAATATTCATATTGGATGTGGGTATTGGGAGAGGGCTGAGATCAGTCACAAATATGATATTGTTCCTGCCTTCAAAAAGCTCACAGTACAGCCAAGAAGACCATCCTGCAAGCTGATGACTAGACACCGGAGGAGGAGGGTTCTTCCACATCCATCACCCTTTAGCCTGGGGAGTACTAGAGAGAAGACTGTAAAATCTATAGGAGTGTGTATGTGGGCGTGTGCAGACCAGAGGTTGGGTGTCTTCTTCAGTTGTTCTTCACATTGGTTTTTGAGGCACAGTCTTTCATTGATTAGGCCAGGAAGGCTGTTCAGAAAGAACCACAGGATCCTCTTGTCTTTGCAATACTATAGCTGAGATTACATGGAAGACACATGCCCAATTTTATTTGCAGGGATCCTGGGGATCGACCTCAGGTCTCATACTTGCATAGCAAGCACCTTACCAGCTGAGAGCTGAGGCCCAGTCCTAAAATGTGTTTGGGTTTTTGTTTGGTTGTTTCTTCCTCTTCCTCTTCCTCTTCCTCTTCCTCTTCTTCTTCTTCTTTTTGGAGATAGGATTTCTCTACATAGCTCTAGGTGTCTTGAAACTAACTCTGTAGACCAGGCTGGCCTTGAACTCAGAAAAATCCATCTGCCTCTTGCTTCCTGAATGCTGGGATTAAAGGCGTGCACCACCACTGCAGGGCTCAGAATGTGTTTTTTAAATGAGAAAAATGGTGTCTGCATTGAGAAAGAAGCAATCACTGCCACCCGCTACTGCTCATTTCTCAAGCCCCATTAGCTGCAGGTCGCCTAGTCAGGGTTCAGAAGCCCCAGGTTTTAAGTGCAAATTGCAGCCTGTAATTGAGAAGTCCTAGAGTCAGGCAAGCAAGGGAATCAGATGCAGACTAGACCTGCCATCTGCAAGTGAGTCACCATTGTTAAAAACACTGTCTTCCAGGCAGGAAATCCCAGCCTCGCCCCCAGAATGGAAGGACAAAGCAGAGACGGTGATCATTGGAGGTGGCTGTGTGGGCGTGAGTCTGGCTTACCATCTGGCCAAAGCCGGGATGAAAGATGTGGTCCTGCTGGAGAAGTCTGAGCTCACAGCTGGCTCTACCTGGCATGCAGTAAGGAAACCACCCCGAAGTGTACTATGTATGCCCCAAACTGTGCACCGGTTCCTCCCACTCACGACTCCTACAGAGAGAGCCCTTCAGGGTGTGGGACCCCCCACCTCACCAGAAAGTGTACTGTCACTTGACAGTGTGCATCCAGGAAGTGCGAAATCCTTGTTATTTGGATACCCTTTATGTTGAACATGTGGATTCCGGATTCTGATCCTGGCTTTGCCCTTTTCTACTCCAGTAACTCCCAGAAACTTCCTTCAGTTTCCATTTTCTCATGCATCCCATTTTCTGAGTTGGTTTTGTTTTGTGTTTTTGTGACTGAGCCTCAGCCTGTGGTCAGCCTGTGTCATTGTTCTAGTGAGGCAGCATGGCTGAGCTGTACTGGGGATGGCCTAGGTGAAGGCCCTGGATTGATGTGACTCCAATATTGCCAGTGAGGGGTAGGGAAGGAAGATTCTATGATTACCAAGGCACTTGTGCGCTCTCTCTCTCTCTCTCTCTCTCTCTCTCTCTCTCTCTCTCTCTGTGGGTATATATATATATATTTGGAACACACACACACACACACACACACACACACACACACACGGAGGAAGACCTGGCCTCATTGGCCATCTCTTTCCATAACCAGCTTTCCTGTGGTGTGGAGAGGAAAGGGGAACTCTCTCTGAAGGCCTCTTCACACTGAGCACACACTTGAAGCATGGGCCAGATGTCTGGATAGGAATAGTTGTCAAGGCTAAATGCTGGTGAACAGTGTCACCCAGACACAAGCTCAGTTGATCCAGTCTCACAGTCCCACGGTCAGCCAGTGCTCCTGGAAAAATAGCACGGCGTCCATCTCCTCCCCCTCCAACCTTCATCCTCAGGGTGGCAGGGCGTGGGCACCCCATTGCTTGCACACACCAGTCTTCCCAGCATCTTCTTTCACTGGTCCCCCACTGCCTTACTCCTGCCTGCAGAAGCCTTGGTGCGCCAGGCTTGTCTCACATCCCTAAACTAGATTTTCTGTGTAGGCTTCATGTTGTTCTTCTAGCAAGTCTATATC